GACAGCTCCCAGACTGCGAGGAAGGGGAAAGAGACTCGGAATATCTTCATTGGCCGATCATTTGCAAAATGAGAAAATAAAGGAGGAAAGAATGAATAAAGGCAGGGAGGCAAGGTTAAATGAGCCGCGATGGGGAGATTCGAGACGGACGGCGGCCATATAGGATGTTCAAACCCTTTGGCTACTAAGAGCGCCCGACGTTTGGTCGACTATCGCCTGCCCGGTCAGAGGAATCTCGCCCGTAAGTCGAAATGGCTCCGCGCTCAAAAGGTTAATCGATGACCTGTATGCGATATGAAATTAACGGAGGTTTTCCTTCTATACTTCAAAAATAAAAATGCATTTAACCGAAGGGATATATTATTTAACCTTTCGCGTACTAAGAGCGCCCAAAGGCGCCCGACGTTTGGTCCAATATCGCCTGCCCGGTCATAGGAATTTCACCCATATGTCGAAATGGCTCCGTAACGAATTCAAGCGATTCTAACCCTTTCAGGGCACAGGAACGTAGTGAAATGATAAACATGACGTTCCAAATGTTCCTTAATATTTATCATCAGCCTCTTAACAATAAACATATTTTTTTTCTTCAAGAGTACAAGACCAAGATCGACTTTCTTCCTCCCTATACCTCTTAATAATAAATAATCTACAACCGTACAAGATCAAGTTCGACTCCACCAGGCCGCGTCGGCCTTGGTCCGATCTCTCATACCGGTTTTACCCTACATCGGAATTAATAAAACAGTTATAAACAGAGACCCGCCGACAAGTTTCCACGGTCCGTTAAACGGCCATACGTCGTTATACGGTAATTCCGGTATAGGAGAGAACCTGAATAAAGGGACCCTCCGGATACAAGGAGACAAAAGGACGATCTTCGGCTTTTCTCGCGAATTAACAATCCCCGCCGATAATCGCCGAAAACGTTTTCAACCCGATAAAAAAAATAAAAAAAAAGTACCGAGACTACACGAAGCGCGGATAAATTTATTTTTTCATTGCAGCGGAATTTTTGCCGGCGCTAGAAGTACCATAAAAAAAAAAAAACGTTCGGCGCCAAAAAAGCGAATTTACTCGCTACAGTAATTAAGCCGTGATGGAAACTTCCCCCAGGGTGCGAAAAATCGGTCAGAGTGGATTAATAAAAAAATTAAAAAAAAATTATATACAGAAATATTTTCAACAATCGCGTCTAGGAGGTACAGGGAGAATTTTTTTTTTTTTCATATACCACGTGCGAGAGCCAGATTGGCAATTACTTCCTTTTCTTTTCGATCCAGTCCTAGGTGGAATTAAAGCAAAGGAAACATTCGCGATCCGCGAGAGGTACGGTCTCATTGTTGGTGCGATTCGCGGACAAAAGTGCCCCCCCCTCCCGAAGGTCTCCGCGTTCGGCAACAAAGGCCTCCGCGGGGTGCATAACCCCTCGTCGCTAAAATAAAGACATAATGGCCAGGGCGCTTATCCAGGAACGGCTACGCGAGGTCTTTGTCCCTCGGTTACAGGCGGTCGAGGTCTCCTTCAATTTCTAAGGAAGGTATACCAGGTCGATCCCTCCGATTTCATTTCTCTAACAATACGTCACAGTGTACTGAAAATTAAGGTACACGTATTTCTTTTTTATCCGCCATTAGACACTTTAAGGGGGTGAGATCCAAAGTAAGGCCCGTAAGGGGCGATTCGGCAGTTTCCCCCGCAAGAACAAAACATACCTTTCAACCAATCCCCTGGAAAAGATATCTCGTAACGAGAAATGAAGAATATAATTTTCTTAATTTGTCGAACGAAATGAAAATACCTGTCGCATAGTTTCTAGCCTACTGTACATATTAATAAAGGAATATCAAAAATCGGAGAGATCTCCCTTGCAAGTTAGACCGACGGGACTTTGAGGTTATGTCGGCCCGATCTCTAGGTTAGAACCCGACACGGTACATAAACGCCAATTCGACATTGAATTAAGATCGCGGAGTCTCCTCGGTAATGCCAGCCCGACTTTGAGGTTAGGTCACCCGACATGACGCACGGGGGAGAGGGGTCCAGGCACGCACCGTCCCAATCGAAGAATCTCCGAGGAATTTCATTAGCGGCGGAGCCCCGGCATTCCGAGCGCTCTCCCCGTAGAATCGGAGACGGCAACACGCCTCGGCCGAGCGAGGCGTCTCGTAGACAAGGAGGCGGCATCGCGCGATCGCCCCTCCCCTCTCCCCTCCCCTCCCCTACCGAGGCGACTCCACTCGGCGCGGCCGCGAGTCGCGCAACCACGGAGGTTATATGGACCCTGGCCTAGCCCCGTACGCAGGGTTGGGTAAATACAATGTGTATAATAAATAATAAATATTACACGACGTATTAACGTCACGTAACGCGATTATTACAACGTATATGTCTCTAGTATTGTACGCGAGCGCAAAATATGTCGCGCTCTTCTATTACTAAATAAATAAAAAAAAAAAAAATGAATAAATCCACGGGAGAAATTTAACATCAAACTAATCCTGTACGCAGGGTTGGGTAAATGCAATGTGTATAATAAATAATAAATATTACACGACGTATTGACGTCACGTAACGCGATTATTACAACGTATATGTCTCTAGTATTGTACGCGAGCGCAAAATATGTCGCGCTCTTCTATTACTAAATAAAAAAAATAAATAAATAAATCCACGGCAGAAATTTAATATTAAACAGGGCTAAATCGGAAAAAATTTTCTCAACCCAAGCGCCAGATTACTTAACAATTTTTTTTACACAATCCACATGTGCGCTAAAAGCAACCTCGCGAACACGTATATCGTGCATCTCTGGAATCCGCCACATTGTAAACGTAAAATTATAAACAATTTTGAACGCGAGCCGGAAATTAATTCGTCATTCCTTAAAAATATTCACGTGTTTACATGTGTGTTAAAAGACGATATTTCTGTGGTTCGATGAATTTTTTTTTTTTAATAACGTTAATTGGATTTTTTATTTAATTTTTAGCGCCGTCGCATTGCAAGGCCATTTCTTAATTGGGACGGAAGTACCGAGGATTTCCTCGGTGCACTTCCGGGGGGCAGCCGGAAGTAACTTACGACGTCGGGATAACGTATCGACGGTCGCAGGAATGTCTTTCGAGTAATCTCGCGGAGAAGAATGTCCGAATAAAAAGAACGAAATGTAGTATTGGAAAAGCCAACGGTCGAAGGTTCCACCGTGGAAAACGGCGGTAAAGATTTTTCCCCTCGGTCTCGAGGACGAGGACATATAGAAATGCCTAAATCCCAGGAAAGCGAGTCCCTGTAAACGCTCTTTACTAAACCGACAACCGCGGTCGAGAGTTTCACAATCAGCTGTTCAGGCTTGACGATTTATATCCGACCTTGCGATTCTAGTTAACGTTCCTAAACGCGGTGAGTTATGTAATATTTATTTATTATAAAAAAAATATTGCCGTAAAATTGATAAGTATTTTAGATTTCGCGATAACGAGCCGATAAACGCGTTTCTTGCAGTAGGCGGTACCCGGCGACCGTAGTCGAGAGTTTCTGGATCAGCTGATCAGGATCGACTTCTAATTTATATCCGCGCATATAATGGATCATGTAATGCTTAAAAAGTGTCTGTAAACGTTATTGCGAAGATTGACAAGTACTTACATTTTTTAAACATTAAAAAACCGCTCTGGTGTACTAAACAATATCAGCGACCGTAGTCGAGAGTTTCGAATCAGCTGATCAGGATTGACTTTTAATTTGTATCCACGCCTTTGATAAATTATGCACTACTTAAAGAGTGCAAATAAACATTAACGCGAAGATTGACAATTATTTAAATTTCTTAAACATTAAAAAACCGCTCTGGTATACTAAACAATATCAGCGACCGTAGTCGAGAGTTTCGAATCAGCTGATCCAGGGTTGACGACTTATCCGCGGCCGTTTCTTCCGCAACGGTTAGCCTTCGTTTATCCGCACGTGACTACCACGACAACGAACACAACAACCGCGATGACAAGTCTGGCGAGTTATGACACACGCATTAACCGGTCGTACCTCCTGACACGCTCTCGTTCACGCGTGGCGGAAAACGCGGATCAACTGTTTTATCCCAATCTTAAAATCGACTCACTTCCTCTTATACACGTGTAAAGGTACAAAAAATCAAACCAATTTTTTTTTAAATTAAAATATATATATAAATCAGATGATTCTATATATCCAGTTTGGAGGAAAGTATTATTAATATTGATATGTATGTATGTAAACACAGATATATATATATAGAATGACCCTTTTATGACACCTTAACACCTGTCGCGAGTCGTGAGAATTTAAAGGGAAAAAAAGGGGGAGAAAAAAAAAGTGCCGGAAGAACACCACGGCCTCCACTTGTCCGATAAGAATCGAGGGCGAAGCCTCTTTTTATCTCGGCCCTCTTTCTCATCTGCTACCATTGACGGCCTCGCTAATCCTCGACACTCTTGGAATCCAGACGAGGACTATTTTTGAACGGTCGAACGGTTAAAAGCCGCCGCCACCATAGACGTCCCCAGAATTTATTCGGGCTATTTTGGAGTGGGAACTCTTATTATTGTAATTAAAGAAAAAGAGAAAAGTACACTCAGAAGGGTCACTTAGCGCGCTATCAGATATTAACCACCCTATTTCAAGTAATGACTTAATCGCCGTTTCTACTATTATCGTTCCACTAATCGCGATTAAAATAATCTCCCGTTAACCGCGGTAGGTGTAACAGTTTCCAAGAGTGTCGTTACTTCTGGAATCGAGATACTCCAACCGTCCTAACGTCTCGTACTCCCGTTAAAACGCGAAACGTAAACGACCCGGTGATACCTAACGAGGGCAGGGGTCGAAATCACCGATAGGGAGGCACGCACCGCCAGGGATCGCCACGGTATTATCGGCTGCGATAAGCCACCCCCGCTAGGGCGGGGGACGCACCAGGATGCCATCTCACCCTCGCGTAAAATCTCACAATTCTCACTCACCGAGGTGTAGACTCACCGCTGGTTAAGAATCCGAGGAGTAGATCGCGTAAATCCGTTCGGCAGGGGTAGACAAAAGGCGGCGGCGGCAGCACTAAACCACGGGAAAATGGCTGAAGAAGAACACTCGGGCGATATCTTCCTCCCCTCGCACTCTGGCACTCGCCGTGCGTCCACCTTTCCTCCCGGCACTGGTGAAAACTCGAATGTGCGAATCCTCGATGATGCGAAGACGGGTATCCGGGAATCTGCGAGATTCTTCTACGCGCACCGCACGGATTCACTCGTTAAGGTTGCCCGACGCGGTCAGGGGTGCCGGCGGACGCGGACTGGCCGATCAGCGGGCGGACCTGCGGGCCGAGCCGACGGCGGCCATCTTGGCTCGGCGGACAGCCGCCGAAAGCGTGTACTCGCGACTGCGCAGCACGACCGACGACCCGCACGCCTCGCTGGCTCGAGAGCGACTGACCGGGAGGCGCCGCGCCGCGGCGTGCCGGCGCGCGACCGACTCGCGCCGCGCCCCGTAACGACCAATCGCGCCGCGTCTTTCTCCGGCCGCCATCTTGCCCGGCCGCTCGAGCACAAAGGGCCGGGAGCCGAAGGTGCCCGGAGACGACCGAAGGTCCCCGAGGACGAACAGAGGGCGCCCTTTCTCTACCCAGGCGCATCGACGAGCGCCTTCCCGCACCTTCCCTCGCCATTACTTCCAATTCCTTCCTACGAACTATGCTTTCCTTTATTTCCTCACCAGCTATGCCCGGCGAGATGCTCCGCCGGATTTCATGTTTCTAGAATCCGTGAGGATTTAACGTTACTTCGCCGATTAATTCGAGCGAAAACTCGTTACGCCCTTCTGATATCATTTATCTTGCTCATTTTACTATCTCGAAATGGCGACTATTTTTTCAACAATTTAAAGGGTAAGAAATTCCGATGACTGAGTAGAAAGATCGGGAAGTAATGGATGACGGAGGAAGATATCGTGAGTTCTCGTTGGCCAGAAAAATATTTCATGAAAGGCCCACAAGTCCTCACTAAAAGCCGGGTGCCATGAATGCCAAGCATTAAAAGTCTGAATGCGTCATCCCGCAGTTGGAAAAAGCCTCTTTTCATTCGGGGCACAACCCGCAATGACACGGTTTGTTTACAAATTGAAAGACCCTATTTTATATTCCTCTAACTCTTATGCAGGAGGAGAGACTTTGTGGTGTACAAAGAAACGTGTCTCTAATTCCTTATCAGTGATTATCTCATGACCCCTGGCTTTTCAGGTATAATTACAATTGAACGCCAGGTCTATTTTGACAATGTTAAGACGGTAATTAATTAATTTACATTAAATTATTGGCCATGCGAGCGGATGTTACGAGCACCACATAAATACAAGGTGGTGTAAATAATGGACATTAAATGTTTACCATAAACATATAAGTCCTGTTTTATACAGGCGCCATTATTTTACCATAAATAGAGACGATAAATGTATTATTACGCACTAAATTAAATTAAATTATATACTGTTTTAAATACGCTGCGGTAATGGCCTTCACAGAATTCGATCCAGCATATTTATTATATGATCATGGAATGGTCTATAAATAATTCGATTATGAGATTCTGCTCTGCAAATTGCCTAATTAAATGTTTACGGTAATATGTAATGGAGCAATGAACTCATCTGAAAATGGCGAAATTAATGCGGTTTCTCTCTTTAATAAAAAAGAAAAAGGGAAAGCAAAAACTATCGTTTCCTCGTTGTCAGAAATAGAAAGTGTGGATCGTATTCTTGGACATTACGGGGAGAAATGTCCTTGAAGCGAGGAACATTTCAAGGAAATGGAATGTAATGGGTTTTCAATTTTTAATTATTCGCATAAAGAATTCTGGATTATTATAGAATTCTGTGCAAGTGTAAATTCTCAGAGTGTCAAATTTCCCTTTGACTTTACGCACTTTACAATAGTATTATTCTTTTAATTTTACAATCATTTATTTAGAATGTATCGATAGTTGGATAAAAATTTCTTCTCCGCTTCACTCAAGGCCACCAAAATCAGGAAAGTTGGAGTTCCTCCTCTTATGACGAAGCTGAAATATATGTGAAAATGTGAATTCGGCCTTTTGCAACAATAAATGAACTTGTTAGTTTAACACTAACTCTGTAGCTTATACAATTTATTACTTACCTTTTGTGTGATAAAATACTGCCCAATGTTTTAAGAGTGTCAACTTTATAAATACTACTTTTGTCTTTCCCTTCGTAGTAAACGTTGACATTACTAGAAATATATTGTCTCTTCGTGTCCCATTCGGGAGGCTCTTCAAACAGCATTTCGAGATGGTTTGTTAAACTAAAAGATTACTTAGTTCATTTGGAAGGCCTGGTAGTAATTGAGGCGTTAAAAATATATTTTAAACGTTTCAAAAATACACTCACGTTTCATCTTCATGAAAGTTTTGAATAAAATCAGTTTGGAGTGATTCTGGGTACTTAATTAGAACGGGCCAGATAAGTTTATTCTCTTCGTTCAGGTGCACCATAAAATCTGCCAGTTGCGGTACTCTTGGCTCTAAATCGGTTAAATTTATATTACCCTTTTCTGGTAATTCCAAATTTACATTTCTTGCTTTGAGTACTTCGATCAATTTTTCTTTAGCTTGGTTCTTTTTCTTTTCAGCGATTTGTTGCCTTCTCGTATCTCGTTCTGACCTTTTCTACAACAAAATTAAGTTATCAACAATAAGAAGTCATTGTAATGGATTTAGAAAATTATTATAAATATAAGACAAAATCCTTACCTTTGCAGCAACCGCTTCTTCTCTAAGTTTTAAAACTTCTTTATCAGTCGGAAACTCTTGGAGAAACTCATCGCATACACTTATGCATTGATTGTAGTCTTTAATTTTTAAGCAACATAAAGCCAGTCTTGTTTGTACTTTAGGATATTTTGGCTTCAGTTTTAAACTACGTTTATTGTCGTTCAAGCTCGACCTACAGCAAGACATGAAAAATTGCAGTTTTTAGTTACTCCCGGATATTCAAATTTACGTCACAGATATAAAATGAATACTGCTTCATTAATCGTACCAGTAATTTTGTAGCATGAAATGTGCCGCTGCTCGATTATTGTAAAGTTGCGCCATTAATTCATTGTCTTTGCTTTTTGTTTTTAACCCTTCCGTATAAGCCAAAATAGCTAGTCTATACTTCTTGTGTTTAAAATTAAAATTCCCGTCGTCTTTGTAATTATTAGCTAATTCTACAAAGATAGGATATAATTACACATACGTGATAATTTTAAGTTAACAAAAGTATGATGATACGATTGCATCATTCTATCGTTACTTTTTAAAATGGCAGGATTGTTTTATTTAATTACATCGGACCTTCAGGAGTATTTTCGCTCTCGTCATACTTAAGTTTCTGTAATCCTTCCATAAGGGGCGATAATTCTTCCCCAGGATTTGGAGATTCTTTCATAAAAAACGGATGTTTATCCATTTCTTCTTCCCAGCGATCTTCAGGCCATCCTTCCGCATAAGACCTTTTCTCTAACCCATTTATGTACTCATCTAATTCGGCATCCAATTGCGCAGCAAGGGCAAGGCGTTCACTCTCCGTCCACGTCTTCTTATCACCACTTTTATTATCACAACTCATCTTCTATTACTTGAACAATTATCACAGTACCAATTAACTCGATTGGGATAAATCTGTACAACGAAGTGACACGCTGAAACGTGTTTCTGTCTGTACGTTACGTCGCGAATTCAAATTCCAACGTTCCAGACGTTTCCTACAAAATGGTGGACGTTTTGAAGCGACCACCGCGCCTCTGGTTATAGGCACGTGAAATATTATCGTAGTATTTGCACTGGCAATTATCAGGTCCAATCAGGTCTACGCAGGTTTGCACAGGTCTGCAGGTAACCTCGAAATTAACCTCTGCTACTCTCTTCGCCTTTGTTTGTAAATTTCTGCAGCGTGTTCTCGAATTTCAGCAAATTTCAGCATGGGTTCTAGAAGCGAGGATGAGGTTAAGTGCAGAAATCCGTATGCCTATTTGGACAGGACGGACTTTAGCTCGGAGAAGTACAAAATTGAGGTACGAGGCTTGCCCAAACATTATGGCTTTGGAGAATTTAGAAAGCTACTCAACGACAAACTGGAATTACAGTCGAGTAAGGTTAAACCTCCGAAGAAAGGCAGCGAGTGGTTGTATGTTTGTTTTCGGAGTGCAGAATGTCGGGATAAGGCAATTTCAGTGATTAATGGGCTCTCGTGGAAGGGATCGAAGTTAACTGCACAGGTACGGATGTATTCTATGTTATACACACGTTTTTAGTATGTGGGAAATATTTTAAAATCGATTAAACCAGGGTATGTAGCGTAATTAATTGTGAAAAATTAAATCTTCCTCTAAAATAGATGGCTAAACCTGCGCCTGATCCTTTAATAAAGAGAAAGATCGAAGATGAAGATCGTAATTATAAGAAACGGAAAGACGGCGAAGGGTATGAAGCAATTCCTCCTATGCAGCGGGTGAAACAGAGTACAACACCGTTTTGGAACGTTAGCTATCCAGAACAAGTAAGAACCGTCAAATCATTGGTATATTGAGCGAAGGAATAAAATTGTGAATTTCAGTTAAAGCTGAAGCAAAAGAAAATGGAAGGAGTTCTTAAAACATTGGGGCAGGAAATTCTGAAAGGAAATGCTAATTTAGCCGATTGGTTAGCTAGTCGAAGGGAAAAATATTCAGGCTTGCCATGCGAGCTGTTACCGATTCTTAGTGCTTCAGAAATTGAAGGTTATAGAAACAAATGTGAATTTACCATAGGTTAGTAATATTATTAGCGATAGAATTAATAACATAGATTATAATGCTGTATAACTTGATTAGAATTAAAAATTTGGTATTTGACGAAATTATAGGAAAAGCTGAGAAAGATGATCAAACTATCATTGGATTTAGGTTATCTAGTTATGCTGCTGGATCTACAGCAGTAGGCCCTATCGACGATCTCTGTCATATTCCTGAAAATATGAAGAGAGCTGCAAAGGTGGAGCAATCAGATCTGTTAAAATAATAAACTTCTATTGACACGAGGTTTACAATCGATTTTAATGGTTAGTTTTACAGATTTTTGAGGAATTCGTTAGAAATTCCAAATTTACCGTCTTTGATCCTATACATAACAGTGGATACTGGAAACAACTTACTGTCCGAACATCTAAACTTGGTCATCTAATGTTAATAATTGGAATCGATCGTCAAGATTTGAGCGAGGGTGATGTGATCGAGCTCAAAAAGAGTATATTGGAATTTTTTGAGAAGGGAAAAGGGGCCGAGGCTAACGTCACCTCCTTATATTTTCAAACGATTGAAAGAAAGTGAGTGGAATTATTATTTCAAGTGGTATAGTTATACGTCAAGAATGGATTTAGGTGTAACGTACTTTAATCATCAGGGGCATAGGTGGAGAAGGTGGTGGTTCATTGGAACATTTAAGTGGGATGAAATATATCGAAGAGTCGCTCATGGATATGACATTCAGAGTTTCTCCTGACGCTTTCTTCCAAATTAACACTCTCGGAGCAGAAGTACTTTACAAAGCTGCCATTGACTTGGCTTCACCCGATACTAACACAGCTATTCTCGACGTCTGCTGTGGCACCGGGACCATCGGACTCTGTTTTTCTAAGGTATGAATTGTTTTATCCATCGGCTAAATACAACAGAATTTCCATCGCATAACTAAATGTTTTGATTCAGTATTGTGGGGAGGTCCTGGGTATGGAAACGGTGAGCAGCGCGGTCGAAGATGCGAAGGAGAATGCAAAGAAAAATGGTGTAAAAAATTGTGAATTCTTTGTGGGCAAGGCAGAAGATCTTTTAACGACGGTTGTGCAGCGAACATCGATGCCTGACATCATAGCAGTGGTCGATCCGCCAAGAGCTGGATTACGTATGCATAAAAATTTCCCCTTAAAAATATAATCTTCCCAACATCGGTATCATCCTAATCCTTACTTTAAAATTTTAGATCAAAGAGCTATATTGTCTCTGCGTAAAACTAAACAGTTGAAAAAACTGGTATACGTGTCCTGTGGTCCCGAAGCTGCGATAAAGAACTTCGTAGACTTTGCGAGACCTGCATCTAAGCATTACGTGGGGGAACCTTTGGTGCCGGTAAAAGCTGTCGCCGTTGACATGTTCCCGCATACGAAGCATTGCGAACTCGTCGTATACTTGGAAAGACTTTCTTCGGTGTGAAGAAACATTCTTTCTTTTTTTTTTTTTTTCACGCAATGTACAATAAAGGAAACTGCCAGCATTTTAATCATTTCTATTAATTGAAATACTTTCATTACAGGTCAAGCTAGGAGAGAGTAGAAAGAAAATTGGAAAATACGCCGGACAGTGAACGCTCCTTTCAAAACGTTTCGCCGCAAGATGGCGCCACGTCGCTGCGCCACCGACCCCCAATCCTCGATTCTCCAGCCAAGCCAAAGTCCTCTTTCGAATAGCGAGCGTCTCCCTAATTCCTCAACCCAAGGTAACTTGCCGATTAAAAGCGAAATCCTGCGTCCACCTTAACGGCCCGCGTCCCCACATCGAGTTTACCCAACCCCTCAAATTACGATCCCTAAAAGAGACCCCCGCCGCCCTCCGCCGACCTCGATCAGTTGGAAATCGTTATAAAACCCGAAAACACTGCCATAATATCAAGATCAACCGTCACATGTTACCGCATTATCCTTTATCATACGAAACGAAAGGCGATCGATCCTCAACGAATGAAATCCTTTCAACTGATTTCCGAGTCCCTAAATTTCAAACCGGCCGCCATTATCGCGCCGCCCTCGGGGCGGCAAGATGGCGGCCGGCGAGGGAGGCGCTAGGCGCGCCGCTCGCGGCGGCGCGGCGAACCTCGGTAGCCGCGCGCCGCTCTCGACGTCAGGCTCGGAGGTCCGCGCTCATTGGCCCCCGTCCGCCGTCGCGTATTGATCACCGCGGGCAGCGGGTCGGGGTCTCGCCTCCCCTCTCGCGGAGAGAGGGCGCGCGAGGGCGCGAGAGGGCGCGAGAGGGAGAGCGCCGGGTCGTCAGGGATCTCCGTCGGTCGGCCGCCAGTGGGGTGAGTGGAGCCCGAGCGAGCGGACGTAGCGCAGCGCGCAGCCAGCGCAGAGAGTCGAGCGCAGCGGCCGCGGGGGGCCGGGGGGCGGGGGGCGGAATAGCCGGACGATTCGGCAGCGCATTAGTCATTATGAAGCGCATCAAGTGCGGACTGCCGACTGGTCAGTGCCGGTGAATGTGCGACCCCGGGGCAGGGATCTGCCGGGATGACGTGCGTCGAGGCCACCGTGCAGCCTCCGGTAGACGACTGTCTCAAGGTTAGGAGATGGTGGTGCTTCGTCCTCTCCAGCATCTTCACCTTCCTCGCCGGGCTGTTGATCGTCCTTATATGGAGGGCCTTCGCCTTCCTCTGCTGTCGCAAGGAGCCCGAGTTCGCCCCTAATGACCCCAAGCAGAAGGAGCAGAAGGCCGCCCGACAGGGCAAGGAGTTCGAGGGCACCTTCATGACCGAGGCCAAGGACTGGGCCGGCGAACTCATCTCCGGGCAGACCACCACTGGACGCATCCTGGTTAGTCCGAGGCCCGTTCTGTTACCGCTATCGTCCCTGGGGAACTTTCTCGAATTTTCGAATTTTCGCATTTTCATATTTTCGCATTTTCGCATTTTCATATTTTCGAAATTTCGAATTTTCGGGACGGTTGGCCTATCTTATTGGGACTTCTCCAGTCGACCTGGGGGACGACTAGCGTAGGTTTTTGCGTCGTTACGCCTCGCTGGTCGTTGTCGGGAAACTAGGTCTCCGGGCTTAATCCCCGGCTAGGCGTCGAAGGACGTTTACGAGCGGCGGGTTGACATAAACAGAGAAGTAACGTACATCTCGATGTATCCTGGGACTTTGAAATTCCATATCATATACGCCGTATCGAGTGATAACTATATAGAGAACGCGCGCGGGAAATCGGAGAAAATGGCGGAGCGGAGCTTCCGCTCGATAGGAAACTCTACGGAATGAGGATATATTTTCGATCCATCAGCCGAGATGAAATTCGGATGTTTTCGACGACCTGGCACGTGCTTCCGGTAGAGGGGGAGGGGGTCCTCTCGATTTGCGAGGAGCGCGGGATAAGAGAAGGGACATATATATATATATGTATTTTTTTTATCATTTATTTATGCGACAGTCAATCGACGCTTTTAATCACCACGGAAAATTTCGCGTTCCGCGTGCGGCTTGATGGAATTACATTTGCTTTTATTCCCGCAATGATATCCCCCCCCGGGGGGATGCTTCACGTTTAATCAGAGCGATAAACCTTATAATAAATAAATCTCGATTTGACCGCGTCCGTTCCGTGTCCGTTCCGTGTCAGTGCCGTGTCCGTGCCGGCCTTAACCGAGAGGTCAGGGCGAGGCGTCGCGACTAGACCGGTGCCCTCTTTCTTTCCCTCTTCCTCTTCCTCTCTCTCTTCTTCTGCCCGCTTGCCAATGTCACCAGGATGTGTATTATAATAAGGCAGGTTAGGATATGTCTTCCCGCCGATCGGCACGTCGCTTCCGGCGCGGTTTCACCGCCTGCGGGGGCGAGGGGGTCGGTCTTGCCGAATCGCGGGGGCGAGGGGGAAAGGCCCCCCTCCGCGATGCCGCCCTTTGTGCTCGCACGAGGAAACTCGCTTGCCTATGACCCAGTTCCACCCTCGCAGCCGGACACGTTGGGGGAGGGTTACGCATTGCGTGCCTCCCCCAGGGGGGCGACCCCCCCAAGATAGGAACCCTCTTATCTCTCCCGACTATCGGGGGGGATCGATAAATATGAATAACGTGTATTATTAGTCTTTCCTTTTTCTTTTTTAATTTGAGAAATAAATTCCCCCCCCGCACCCTCGACCGAGCCAGATAGAATATATCGATGTCGCTTTCGATCAGGTCGAACCTCCCCCTGGGGGGGATCGATAAGCCGGCGTTATTATTTTTTCTTTTTTAATTTAAGAAATAAATTCCCCCCGCACCCTCGACCGGGTTAGATAGAATATATCGATGTCGCCTTCGATCGGGGCGAACCTCCCCCTGGGGGGGATCGATAAGTCGGCGATCGAATCATGGAACTCACCCTCCCAACCCCCCCACGTTCCAGTTCCGGAAATACATCCTGGGGGGAGGAATTATTTTGCGCTCTTGGGATCTCTCGTTTTTTTTTTTTATTGCTCTTGCAAAATACCGCAAGGGGTTCTACCTTCTTTCTCCTTCTCTCCGCGCGGAGGGAAAAGTCCGATCCGTTTCCAGATACGTCTTCATATCTCCACCCCCTGGGGGGGGGAATCGATGTGCGCTAAATTCGTTAGGTCGCGGGACACCCTCATTGTCTCGGTGGCCTTCCGACAACCTACTTTTCCAGTTGGGACGTCGTCCCCGGGAACAATGCGACATATCCCTTTTCCTCGTTCCGCGACGCGGGATATCGGGCCGCGAGCGGATTCCGTCCGAGGGGTGATTAGGGACCCACTCGCGGCGCTGCTCTTTTTCTTCCCTTTTTTTTTTCCCTCCGCTTTCCTTTTTTCCCCGAGCGCATAAGCGACACCGACGTGTTTCTTTCTCTCTGTTCTTATTCTCCTTTTTTTTTTTTAATTATTATTCTTCCTTTTTCTTTCTTGATTGGACCCTTTGCGGCGCGATTACTTGGAGAGGTTCGATCGGGCGGGAGGGATGTTTTCGGAAGGGGGGAAGGGACGGCCGGTAAATTTTATGAATTTTTTTTTTTATCAGTGCCTCCTGGATTTTTATCAACATTGCTTGTATCACTTGTTTCGTCAAATTCTCACCGCGGGTTGCCCCGATATTTAGGCACCTTATCGGAAGGAACGATTTTATCGAAAGACGATTTTTCCTGCTCCTTCCGCGTTGCGGCCGAAAATAAACCGCGTCGGCTCTACAAGGCCGATTTTTTAAATTTTTTATCAACCTTCTTCGTATCATTTGTTTCCTCAAATTCTCACGGTGGGTTGCCCGGATATCTAGGCACCTTATCGGAAGGAACGATTTTATCATAACCGCGGAGAGAAGAGCCTTCTTCCTGCTCCTTCGGCGTTGCGGCCGAAAATAAACCGCGTCGGCTCTATAAACGCCGAGGCCGATTTTTCGTGCGGAGCCTTGGGGGGGGAGGGAGGATTCACGTTGGGCAACCTTAATGCCACCGGTTGCCAGGGTCTCTTAATGAATGTCGCAACTCTCGCCGCCTATCTAAGGTGCCTCGCTAATTCGATATCGCGGCCGAGACGCCGCGGTATCGCCAATTCCGCACGCCGGCGCTAAATCGGTTCGGACCTCAGTTTCCCTCGATTCCCCTCCCTCCCTACCGCGAGATATCGATCGATTTAACGCGACAATTCGAGAGTCGCGAGCCCCTTACGCGTAGATTCCGCGCGGCCATTCCGCGTCGACTTGGCCGTGGAAAACTGGCACGCGCCGGGGGCAGCGGTATTTACCGGTGTTAACCGCCGCGGAAGCACCGCACCGAGGTTTGCATTGTTAAAAAAAAATTCATACACTTGGTAGATATAGTTGCTGCGAAATTATGAATTCATACAGTTGGTAGATATAGTTGCAGAGTAATTATGAATTCATACAGTTGGTAGATATAGTTGCAGAGTAATTATGAATTTTATGTCTTAGTGAATCGACATACATTTATGATCGGAACTCTAAGTGAATTTATAATTTTATAATATCGCGTTAAAATTACGAAGGTTATTAATTTTGATATTCAAAAGTCATTTGGTACGTGTGGTTTTTTTTTCTTTTTTTTTAACAGTGCATAGCGACGGCCGCCTTTCCGCGCCGCCGGGCAACCCGCGCGATTTTCTTCCGCCTCGACGGCCGCAATTAGTTCTCGCCCCGTTGTCAATCGCGATCCGGGTTAAAAAAAAAAAATTAACCCCAAGGAACCCCATGGCGCGTTACGTCGATAAAAGTATTTTTTTTTTTCTTTATGAAATATGGATTTTAATTTCCACGTAGAAATTTAACGTTACATAATTTCCCGGCATGGAGATATTAATTATTCATTCGTGGGAAGTATTTTTCGCCCCCGGGATTTCGACGCGACGTTAATATCGAGAAAATTGATATACGCGCCGGGACGATCTTGGTAATTATGAATTCATATTTCTCATTCCCGACCGCTATACGAGGTTATGTCATCCCGGGTTACGAAACGTTACCTAAGACCGGGTCGACGTTATTGCATTACACGGAAAGGGGGGAGCTTAGGAAGCGGCGAAATGTAATTACGCAATTTGCGGACGGTCCATTGTACCAGCTGTACAGGGAGATAGAAGGAAAAAAAAAAAGGGATGAAATTTTATGTAATTTTGTGCAAAGGGATCGTAGAGAATTCTTAAAAAAAAAAATTAAAATAGTGAGGGTCCCGCTTTCGAAGCCCCGACGAATGGCAATAAGCGTGGAGAGAGAGAAAGAGAGATATACATATCGTGAGCTTTTAAATCCGGGGGAGGAAAAGAATAAAAAAAAAAAAGAGAAAAAAAAATAGCCGTTGTTTGACGGCGTCCCTTTGACGCCGACGACGGAAGTGCCTCGCTTTGCCCATCGGAGGAGAGCACTACACGGCGTCGCGACGCCCCCTCTTTGTGCAGAGGCATGAAATAATAATTGGCTTTACGGGATTGCCCCCCCCCGAAATGGGGAGAAAGAAAATGAAAGTCGACCCCGAGTGATTTTGTTTTGCCCCCTCGATAGTTGGCGATAAAAAAAGTCGATGTTATCATACCAGTCATCGTTATTTCACGGTTTATTATTATATATTGAATCGCATTGTTTATTATGTGAAACTAACCCTTTGAACGTGGAGGAACTTCGACATACGGGCGAGATTCGTATGACCGTGCGGGCGATATTGGACCAAACGTCGGGCGCTCTTAGTAGCCAAAAAGTTAAATAATATATTTCCTCGGTTAAATGCATGTTTATTTTCGCAATGTAGAAGGAAAACCTCCGTTGAATCTGGATTTCGAGGTGTTTCTTCTATTTTTCATATCGCATACGAGTCATCGATTAAGCCTCTGAACGCGGAGCCGTTTCGACATACGGGCGAGATTCCTATGACCGTGCGGGCGATATTGGACCAAATGTCGGGCGCTCTTAGTAGCCAAGGGGTTAAGGGGGTGCATCATGGCTGGAAGAAAAGCAGTTAGTGGCCCTGGCCCGGCGCCAGTATCCGACTCCGAGAATGTAACAGATTTGTCATGTCGCCGTAGGAAGAGGAGATAATCGCATTTGCCTCCCTATCGGAGGTATAACCCAGGCCGCGTCCAACTGACACGAATTTCAGTGTGCCAAGGCCTATCTCTCCGATAATCCCGTTTCCGACTACGACGAAGGATTCCCCCCTTCACCCCCTAGAAAGATATAGAAAATTGTCCGGTTAAGGAGCCAGGATGTTCCCAATTTTCCAATTCCTTTATTAACCCATTTTCATCCCCCCTTCATATCCTCAGTTTTCCTGGTCACTATCATTCAGCCTGAAATTCGCTGATAAGGACCCTCTTTTTCATACTT